AGGTCGTAGCAGCTCCTCAGCACCATGGAGAGGGACAACATGGCATCTGCCATGCGTGTCCTGTCACTCCTTGTCCCCTCGACCTGTCCTTGTGCCCTTGCTCCATCCTCATCCTCACATCCTGTCCATGTCTTCTTGCTCATCTTCATCCTCTGGTCCCCTCACCTCTTCTTTACCTCCTCCCCCTCCCCGTGTCCTCCCCTTGTCCCCTTGCCTCATCCATGTCCCCTCAACATGACCTTACTCCATCTTCCTCCTCTCACCTCTCTCACCCTTGTCCCAGTCCTCTGGCCCCATCCTCATCCCCAAATGTCCTGTGTCACCTCCCCACCGTGCCCTCAGCCCTGTCTCCCCACAGGAGCTGGACATGAGTGACTTTGAGGAGCAGTTCAAGACCAAGGCACAGGGCCCTGGCTTGGACATCAGTGCCCTCAAGGTGAAGGCCACGCAGAAGGCTCCCAACAAGGTCACCCTCATGGAGTCCAACCGAGCCAAGAACCTGGCCATCACCCTCCGCAAGGGCGGCCGCAGCATCCAGGACATCTGCACGGCCATCGAGACGTGAGTGTCCCCTCCTTGGTGGGAGAAGGTTGGGAGAAGGTCAGGTGTGAGCCCAGCTGGGCCGAAGGGTGGGGTAGGGTGTGCTGGGGTTGGAGGGGTGATGGCACCGGCTGTGAGGACGGTGGGACGCGGGTACCAGATTCAGAGAGATGGAGGGATGCAGGGACCGGCTGTGGGGTTGGAGGAAAATTGGGATCAGCCGTGGGTGATGGGGTGGGTTGAGGGACCTGCTGCTGGGTCTGAATGCGCCAGGGATTTCCGCCACCTGCAGGTATGACCAACAAGCCCTGAGCCTCGACTTTCTGGAGCTGCTGCTGCGCTTCCTGCCCACTGAGTACGAGCGGACACTCATTGGGAAGTTTGAGCGGGATCAGCAGCCACTGGAGGAGCTCTCGGATGAGGACCAGTTCATGATCCGCTTCAGCAAGATCCCACGCCTGGCCGAGCGCATGAATGTCATGATCTTCCTGGGCAACTTCAATGACACGGCCCAACTGCTCATGCCGGTGGGTGTTGGGGGACATGGGGTGGCCATGGGTGACGTGCGAGGGGGTGGCATCTTGCAGGGACTCATACTTCTCCTCCCACGCCAGCAACTCAATGCCATCATCGCCGCCTCCATGTCCCTCAAGTCCTCCAGCAAACTGCGCAACATCCTCGAGGTGAGGGGTTTGGGCTGTGGTGACCCTGATGGGGGGACGTGGGGCTGGGATGGGCGCACGCAGGGTGCTGCCAGGGTGCGCGTGGACGCTGTGTGCAGCCAGGGTGCTCCATCTGTGCCAGCTTGTGTCCCTGAGCCGTTGTGTCTCCGCAGATCGTCCTGGCCTTCGGGAACTACATGAACAGCAGCAAGCGCGGGGCAGCCTACGGCTTCCGTCTGCAGAGCCTCGATGCGGTAAGGTTGGCGTGGGGCTGCCCAGTGTGCCGGTGCAGGGGGACACTGCCACCATCTGGGGACCAGCCTCGGGGATGGAGGGACCTGGGAACCTGCTGTGGGGATGGAAGGATGCAGGGAGCCTCTGTAGAATCAGAGAATCATGGAATGGTTTGGGTTGGAAGGGACATTAAAGATCATCCAGTTCCAACCCCCCTGCCCTGGGCAGGGACACCTTCCACTAGACCAGGTTGCTCCAAGCCTCATCCAGCCTGGCCTTGGACAATCCCAGGGATGAAGGCTTTGGAGAGGCATAGGGAGCAGCTACAGGGATGCAGGGACAAGCCATGGGGATGGGGGGGACACAGGAATCAGCTGTGGGAATGAAGGGATGAAGAGAACATCTATAGGGTTGGAGAGGCATGGGGAGGAGCTAGAGGGATGGAGCAGTAGCTGTGGGGTTGGAAGGAGGCAGGGAACATATATGGAGGGATGTAGGGAATAGCCGTGGGGGCAGAGGAAGATGGGAACCAGCCCTGGGGGTGGAGGGATCCAGAACCAGCCCTGGTGATGGAGGCTCACCAGAGCCTGCCCTGAGCAGGGGTGAGGTGGGGTGGTGGGATGAGGGTCGGGGTTGATGCCGCTCTCTCCCAGCTCCTGGAGATGAAGTCGACGGACCGCAAGCAAACGCTGCTGCATTACCTCGTGCGGGTGATCACGGAGAAGTACCCTGAGCTGACCGGCTTCCACACCGAGCTGCACTTCCTCGACAAGGCGGGCACAGGTAGCGTCCATGGGCACCGGGCGGGGGGGGTCACGGCAGGCTGCAGCCCCATCACGGTGGCTCTCTGAGCCTGCCCTGACTCCGGCGCTGCTCGCCCTCTCCGCAGTCTCCCTGGACAGCGTGCTGCAGGACGTGCGGAGCTTGCAGCAGGGGATGGAGCTGACCCGCAAGGAATTCATGCGGCAGGATGACAGTCCAGTGCTCAAGGACTTCCTCAAGGTCAACTCAGAGGTGATGGAGAAGCTGCAGGCTGACAGCAAAACCGCCAAGGTGAGTGCTGGGGGTAGTGCGGGGCCGTGGGGCAGGAGGTGCCTGGGGCACCCTCTGCTCACACCTCTGCCCCATGGGAGAGGGTCCTGGTTGACCTGTGGCTCTACCAGGAGAGCTGGGAGCTGGGGGGGATATGGAAGGGGATGGCGAGGTGGGAGAGGAGGAGGTGGTGGGTGATGGGGCGGTGGGTGATGTCTCTGCCCGCAGGAGGCCTACGAGTCAGCTGTGGAGTACTTCGGGGAGAACCCCAAGACCAGTCCCCCCACCACCTTCTTCCCCATGTTCATGCGCTTCATCAGAGCCTACAAGGTAGGAGGGATGCCCTGCCCTGTTTCTGGGGGTAGTGAGGGGACGTAGGGGTCTGACCCCACTTTGGGGTAATCAGCAAAAGCCACATGTGAGACTGGGGGCTTGTGAGAGACCCCAGGACTCAGTGCTGCCCTCTGGGGAGGTTGGAGATGGCTGCGTTGGGGCGAGCTGGGGGCTGACAAGGGAAGAAGAGGGGGCTGTGGTCCCGTGCCAGGACACCCCCAGCTCAGCACATCTACCTGCGCCTCTCCCAAGAAAGCGGAGCAGGACATCGAGCTGTGGAAGAAACAAGAGGCCGTGGCCAAAGAGGCGGAATCCGGTTCCCCTGGCAGCGAGGATCAGCCCCAGGTGAAGGTGCCCCCTGTGTCCCTGTCCTGGTGGGGCAGCTGGTCCAGCCCCGAGTGGGCTGCGTGGTGGGGAAGGGCAACAGGTTCTGGTGAGACAGAGCCGGGTGGGGGGCCAAAAATGAGGGCACCCCCCCGCTCCTCTGGGAGGCCACACTCTTCACCCCACGCTGTCCCCAACCGCAGTTGCCCATCCAGAAAGCCAAGCGGCAGCAGATGGACATGATCGCCGAGCTGAAGAAGAAGCAGATGGTGAAGGAGCCGCTCATCTACGAAGGAAAAGACGGGGCCATCGAGGATATTATTTCAGGTGAGCAGCTGGGCGTCCACCCCTGCGGCACTTGGTGCCAGCGGGGAGACCCTCGGTGAGGGGGGTGGCCACAGCCTGGAGCCAGAGGGCCACCGAGCCCCATCGTGGGGCCCAAACCTACCTGTAGCACCTTCCCGTGCCACACAGCAAAGCTGCCGAGTGCCCTCTGCCCTGTCTCATAGCTCTTCCTCCTCTTCTGCTTCTTCTTCTTCCTCCTCCTCCTCCTCCTCCTCGCTGTCTCTGGATCGCTCTGCTCAGCTCTGAAAACTGTTCCTTTCACGGCCCGGACGGGCAAGCGCTCGTCCCGGCTCTTCTGCGACGTGAGCTTCAGCGAGGAGGGTCCGCTGTAGGTAACGTGGGGCAGCCGGGCTCGGGGCGAGGGCATGGCGCCGGCAGGGGTTGCCAGGCTTTGCCACCCTCCTGCGTTTCTCGTCCATCCTCACCTCTGGCTACGTGGCAGATTGGCCAGACGCTGCCCATGCTGAAAGCCAACCCCAGGAGCACCACGGCATCAGCCCCAGCCCCCGGTACGGCGCGGGGCACTGAGAGAGCTGGGGAATGGGGTTCCCCAGGCTGGTTGTCGCAGTTGCTGCTCTGTCCCTGCGTGCAGCGGGTCGGGCTTCTCCCGAGCATCCTCCTACGCGGATGGGGTGACTCCTGGGCGGTGGAGGGGGACTGGGTGACCCTTCGCTGGGGCAGGCAGGTGGTGCTCAGCCAGCCTCTGCGCTTTCTCCCTGTGCAGACCTGCGGAACAACCCTTACCGGCGCGGGGACAAGGGCCGCGGCAGCGCCAAGAAGCGGGCTGCGGGGCAGAGCCTGCAGGTGACGCCGGACATCTCGCTGGGACCCGCACTGTCACTGCCGACGCCCAGACCGTTTTTTTACGCAGATGGGACCTCAGGATGTCAACCTGCCGGCCCGGGACGACGCGGGGCAGAGGGACAGTGCCCACTCCTGGCTGCTCCAGCCGCTCCCACCCCGCATGCCCTTGGGTCTGGTGCAGGGATCCCCCGGTGCTTGCTTAGCGTTGCCTCTGAGCTCCTCTCCTCCAGGCTGGCAGGGATGGGGGACCCTCCTGGGGATGGGCAGGGAGGAGGAAGCATAGAACAGGCCTCAACTTATCCAGGAAGGAAAAGCGGGGCTGTGCCATCCCTTTCCCAGAGCTGCTCCATCGCACGCCTGTCTCAGGGTCAGCCCCGTGCGCTGGCGTGCCCCACTCTTCAGCTTGCTGGTGCCTTTGATTTCCCACGGCAGGGGGGGAGGGGGGCTGTAAGCCAGGGACACAGCGGTCCCTGCACATCTCCCTCATCCTCACAGAGCCCTTGGAGACCCGTGTCCTCCTCCGCTGCAGAGCAGAGCAAGCATGGGCTGCGTCTCCTCTCCAGCGAGGAGCCTGCTGCAAAGATCCCACCCTGGGCACTTCCCGAGCCCCAGGAGCTGGCAGGGGTGCTATTTTACAGCAATTTTATATGTCTTCCTTAAAATCTCTCTGTGCTGCGGGAGCAGGGACTGGAGCACCTATATCGACGATCTCACCAGGGTCCTACAGCTGCGGTGAGTCTGCTCCTTGTCGCAGGGGAGTACCTACAACCATCGGCAGCAGGTCAAGGATACGCTGTCTCAAGTCTCTGTGAGGTGGTACCTAGCTCTGTCCTCCTGCATCCCCGGCATCCGCCTCCACTGGCGGGGCTGGAGCCTCCTGGAGACGAGAGCGACCATCAGCCCTCCTCCCCGGTAGCCAGCCACGGCAGGGTGCCGCACGCAGACGGTGCTCAGCCTCAGCCCTTGCAGCAAACACCACCAGCCCCGGGCGCTGCGGGGTCACTGCTGGAACCGTGCAGGAGAGGCCAGAGAGCTGCACAAACCTCCAAATAACGCACTGGCCTGGGTTCCTCCCCTGCCCTGCTGCCCATCAGTAAACCCGAACCACGCGCTGTCGCAATTAACCCCTTCACGCGTTCACTTCGGCCAAGGGCCCCGCTCGCCCCGCTGCGAGCACGCGCGGCCGCCGTGTACGTTCGCGCTCGCCCCAGCTTTAGAGCAGGGTAAGTCCTCGCTGGGAGCCAGAGCAGCCACTGCTTCCTGCTGCACCTGAGATGCTAAGAGCCCTATCGCACACAAGCTCGGGGGGGGGGAAGGGAAACGAACGTGGGACTTCTGGCCTTTAAGCCAGAAATGTAAAACATTAATTGCTAATTTGTATACATTATTTTTATATATAAAGGCCTGTTTAACCTAAAGCAGAACTGGAAATAAAATGACTCTATGGATAAAGCACTTGTCTGCGTGAAGGGGTGAAGCTTTACAGGGAGGGGGTGGCGCTGCGATGGCTGGATGGAGAGAGGGAGGGATGGACAAACTGGTGCTTGTTGCTCCACCATCTCCCATCTAAGATGCTGGTGCCAGGCGCGGTGACTGGCCCTACCAGCACTTTTAAGGGGAAGATGTATTTCTGACCTGCCCAGCCTGGGTCGGGTGACCTTGAGGCTCTGCTCAGCCCTGCAGCTCTCTCCAGGACCGGCAGGCTCTAGGCTGGGGCTATCTAATGGGGGAAAACACGAGGAATGAGTGTCACAGGAGAAGGGAGAAGCCAGGGCTTGGGGCTCTTCCAAGGGGCAGTCCCACTTCTGACTACCCAAGTGTCCCTAGGGCGAAGGCTGCTAGGCCCGAGGCAGCCGCACAGGCACGCACCCGTGTGCCGGGCTGCCCGCAGCGTGGCGGAGCGGACAGCTCGGCCAGACGCTGGGTCTAGCACGAAGGTCCAGGGCAAAGGCCCAACACCAGCTGTTTTACACTGGGGCTCAGCTGGGCTGTCCTCAGAGGCAGGAGGGGGGCTGTTTTGGGGGCTGGTGCTCCCCCAGGCTGAGCTGTATCCTTACAGGGAAGCCTAGTGACACAGCACCCACCTTTCTTCTTGCAGACAACTGATCTGATTTCTGCATGCACAGAACAGACACAGGTAGGTGATAGCAACCCTCCTCCCCGACTTCGATCTGGGGTTTGTTTCGAGATACCTGACCCCACTCGCTCGCTAGCAACGCCACAAGTGCAGCCCCAGTCCCCAGCGCTGGTGTGACAGGAAGGCAGCACCTCAGTGGTGACAAACAGCTCCTGCAGCGACAGCGAGCAGCAGCACTTGCTGAAGGCCGTGGGCGAACCTCTAGAGCTCTGTCTGCTTGTCCCGGTGTCCCCGCTTCGCAGACCTACTTTTCCCCGTGTCGGGGGGGGGCCCACCCAC